AAATGTTTTTTTTTTAAAAAAGCACATGATTCTTGTAAGGGGAGATGAAATTAAAAATGAGGTAGGCAATTATAATATCCAGAAGTTTAAAGTTAACTGGGTGGAGTGTGTGTGTTGGCCTGAAGAAATTCCTTAAAGCCATTCCAAACTTGAAATATAGGGGTGGAAGAATCCAGCTCCTTTGCCAACCGGTCTCAGCAGCAGTGGTGTGATTGAACTCTCAAGAGCCAAATACGATCAGATCGGAAAACATAGATATGTTCAGCTCAGTGGTGTGTGACTCTTGTGCATTCCTTGCATGGTGCAGTTTAGGAACTAGCTAAAGCCTGGCAAGAATTACCATTGTTAAATACGTGTATTGGGGAAGAATGTGTTCGGGCCAGTCTCTGAAAGTAATCAATGAAGAAAAATGAGGTTGAACTTTACATTTGTTGCAATGTATTAACCTCAAGAGACTTTGGTGAATCAAGACCCATTTGTAGATACTGATTTCTTTGTCTTTTTGCTGGTTTCCTAATCTTGTTTTTGGCATTTGTTTGTGATATACATATTTTCTTCTCTTCCTGGCTCCTCGCTTTCTTTAAATCATTTCACCTGGACATGTGTAGCCCATCTGTCTTTCCAAAAGGTCATCCCTGCTCCCCACAGGGGGCAAGGAGCACAGTATCGACAGAAAGCCAGGGGAAATCTTGCTGACTGTTTTTTGGCTCTTCTGCCCTGGTCCCTTCTTGCCTGTCCTGCAGCTCGCAGAATGAACCGGAAGACAGCAGTTGAGAAAGTGGCAGTGATTTAGATGCTAGCCTATTCAGCTCTCCTAGACACAGACAAGCAACGCAAATGGTGGATGATGTGTTAGAAAGCACACATTCTTTGTCATGGGATTAAATAGAAGGAAATCCTCTGCCATCAAACTAGAGGCTTTACCAACATTTGGTACAGTAAAATGCTAGTAAATATTTTCATTGCTTCCAAACGTAAAACTAAAAGCTTTTTATAGAGTGGGTAATTTTGTAATAATTTTCCTTTCCCCCAAAGACCCCTCCTCCCTTGAGCCCCCATGTCTCAGGTACAGCATGCATGACAGGGGCATGGTGCTCCAAGGATGCACTCACGGGGTTGTCCGGGTTTAAGATGCACAGTTCACCCCTAGGGCTACATGTTGTTTAGCTGTTGCCCTTGAAAATGTATCTCTAAGGTGGGCCCTTGATAACTCCCTAGCCTAGGCTAGTGAATAAATGTTGAATGAATAGCACCTTTGTTCAGGTCTGTTTCCTATATTTATTTGTAAAGAGAAAAAAACTTCCTTACTACCTCCGGACAAGTTTAAGATCTTAAAAAGAAGACAAGCTTCCCTCAAACCAAAACCACAGAGCCAATTCCAGCTCAGAGGTAAACTGCCCTGTGGGTTTCCAAGACTGTAACTCTTTATATAAAGAGTAGAAAGCTGCTGCTTACTCCTATCATACAACTGCAGTGTGCCCTTAAATGTTAGTGTAAATATGCCCTCACTTTGAAAGGATAGAACTCACTGTACAGCACATTCTTCATTACAGTTGCCTCCACTTGCTGCTTGTGTAATTTTAAATCATTGAAAAAGCTTCAAGCTTTTTGTAATAACTTTGAAGCCAGCCATACTACATTCATGGACACTTGGAATTTCATAGTTTTTTGTCCCTTACGGTTCTAATCGCCTTTTTAAAGTAATGGTAAATAAAAGAACCCATTAGTAGAAACGCCTGAGTTTAAAGAACTTTAGTAGAGAAATGCAGATTTGAGCATTGGAATTGTTCCTTGGGGATCTCGGCTGGAAGTCATTTGTGCTGTATGTGAAGCATAGCAGAAGTGAGGCTTTATGCCCCTAAGGAGAACAGAAAAATGAAGGCCTTTCAGAAGACTGGAGCAAGTTGCAGCTGCCGCCAAAACTAATGAGCAAGAAATAGTTCAACCATGAATTTATCTTGAGAGATAAACCTTAAGGCTCATATAATTCAGACGACCGGGTTTCCCCCACAGCTGTGCACTATAATTCAGACGACCGGGTTTCCCCCACAGCTGTGCACTCTCCCAGCAAAGAGTAGAATGATGCACTCTGAGTGCTGAAGCCGAGAGCAGAGGCCATAGGTTTGTCCCCCACGCCTGGAAGATGCTCAGAGACACTGGTGCATCTCCCACGTTTGTCTCGGTGCCACATTTCACTGCAAATCTGATCTGAATCCTGCAGAAAACCTGTCCATTTGCAAAATTTATTTCAGGATGGTAAATTGAACCATAAATCAAACAAATTGAATCTTGAAAACTTTGATATTGTCAAAATTAATCAGCCCTGAAGCAACGATGGTATTTCAACCATGAAATATTGAGTAGTTGCATTGAAAAAGAGGCTTTCACTTAATATTGATGATGCTAATTTCATAGGGGAAATAGTCTGGGTTTTTACCTAAATATCACTAAACTCCATGGCCTTCAATCAGTTTATCCAAAATAACCTCATGGTCACCTCTAGTTTGTCTATGCAGTACTACTTATAAGGATGAAACAGGAGTCTTTGGACCCAGATAGAGCTGAGTTTGAATTCTAGTTCTTCCATATACATCTATAAAATGAAACTAATATGTGCCCTATAGACCTACTACCCAGTGCTGTCAAGTCAATTCTGACTCATAGCAACCTTATAGGATAAAGTTGAACTTCTTTAGGTTTCCTAGGCTGTCTTTCCCAGAAAAGATGTATCTTTTCTGTTCAGATAGCCTCATCTTTCTCCTGAAAAGCAGCTTATTTGTGGGTTTGAACCACCGACTTTGCAAACACTGAACTCACTGCATCACCAGGGCTCCTTCTGCTCCATAGAGTAGTGACTAAATTTAAAATTATGTGGGCAAAGTGCCTTGCCCATAGTACAGCTATTATTAAAAATAGTGCTGGTGTCTTGCTCACTGACACAGTATCACCAATAAGGAAATAAATTAAGATTTCTATCGATGAACTCAGCTAAGGAATTTAGTGTCTCATATGTAAGTTTTACTCCATACCAAAGAGTAAGATCCCTAGAACAGAAGCTCAGTCCTCTTTCCTGTGCCCCACAATGACTGACAGTGCTGGGCAACTAGTAGACACACAGTCAAGGAACGCGTGTTCACATGACCTTGTCCAGCCACATCGCAGGTCTGTGAGACTGAGATTATGCTCTGCCATAGAGGAATCTGAAGGTTTCCTGGTAATCATTATTTTCCAGTAAGACCACAGAGAAATGTTACCACCTGTAAATTGTTTTTCTTTCTAATTGGTTTCTTAGTACCTCTTTAGCCATTTTACTACTTGTGCATTTGTGTCATGAACACTGCAACCGGGACTGAGATAATGTTCTTTTTTCCCTCCACTCATAAATGAAAATCTAAATTTTCATTTTAGATTAGATTATGGTGAGGTCCTTTAGAATTAACCTTTCCATCTGCATATTTAAATATCTTCGATGTTTTCTCAGTAGCTTTTTGGTTAGCAAGTCTAATTAAGGCATTCTGCACTGTATGCTTTCCCCCCTCACCCCAGTTTCTATTGGAATCCTAGTTTTTAGTTGCTGCTTTTGGGGAAAACGTGAAAATTTACTGCTCTTCTTTGAAATTCTTACAGGTCTGGGTGAGTATACAAATAACACTATTAATAAGTACAAATTAAGGGACTGATAAGATTTTACATATATATAATTGATATAATTTATAGTGATTAACTTTTGAGTCTTCTCTAAGGAACAAGAGCAGAGATGATCCAAAGAGCATTTATTCCTAATAAAGGCATTGAATGGGCATGGGGTTTTAAAATTGATTTTAGTCCCTACAAGGATATTTATGATCTCTGAGGTAGATGAGCTATTATAGCAGCTCTGTTTTATCCCTGAGGGAATTGAGGCCCAGAGGAGTTGAGTGACTTTCCTGAAGTCATCATTAATTCGTGACAAAGCTGGCATAAGAACCTGGACCTTCGGTTTCTACTGTGAATGATTTTTTTTTTTTTTATAAGACAGAACTTTATCTCAAGTAGTAATTACACATTAAGAAAGTGTCAGTCCAACTCAAGTCCATCAGCCCGATACTCGTCCTTAAGTCCCTCTGCAGACTCTCACGCAGCCACCTGCCATGATGCAGACAGACTGCAAGATTCCAGGTGTTGGGGGCAGAATCCTGGGGATCCCAGGTCAGTGGAACCATGGCAGAGCTGCAGTAGCTCTCAGGGTGGCCAGCGGAGTCCCAGCAGGCAGGAAGGCAAAGTGGCAAAGTGAGGGGGAGGTTCCCAAGGTCCTCCTTCTAAGAAAGCCACACCCCCACGGAGGCGCCATCAGGCCTGATTGACTGCTTGGGTTCCACCCCTACACTTTCATACAGCTTCAAGTTGACATAAAATCAGCTAACGACCACATTCCTCTTAATTGCATTGAAATAATGCCTCCTTTAAAGCCACTGTCAGCATATTCTATTCCCAATTTTCAACAAATTGACTGAAACCATTATTTTTCATGTTTATACGTGGTCACATTCTGATATTTATCATTTTAAATTATAACACTGGTCTTTTTTTAACTAGTATTTTAAAAACCTTCTTGCTGTGATTTGGTTGAAAGTTCACAAAGAAAATCGGATTTCCATTCAACAATCCATACATACTCTGATTTGTGAAATGGATTGCAACTTCCACACTGTAACATGTAACAGCCTGTGTCCTCCCTGTGTCTACTGAGCTTTATCCCTGGACAAGACCTGCCCGTAAGTCCCTTGCGGTTGGTTCTTCTACGGAGCTGTATGAGGGCCACAATCTCAGGAGTTCCTCACTTCTCTTTCAGACCAGTAAGCCTGGTCTTTTAACAAAAAATCATGTTGGTGAATAATTTTTTTTAGATCTTGCTTAACATTATAATGTAAGCAGGCTATCTCAGACATTGGCTGTTTTCTATTCCACATTAAAATATTTTCCACCTGACTCCAAGAATACTCTTTTGGCTTCCCATCCAGTTTGAACGCCATGACCCTGTGGATGGGAGAATTACGGAGAGGCAGTTCGGTGGCATGCTGTTGGCCTACAGTGGAGTGCAGTCCAAGAAATTGACCGCCATGCAGAAACAACTCAAGAGGCACTTCAAAGAAGGAAAGGTAGGCAGCTTTACTTGGAGGAAGAAAAGGAGCCATGGGAACATAGGGAGATTGCAAAGGTCTGAACATAATCATGAGAGTGTGTCTTCAACCAAGAATTATGATTAATTCATCTCTGATACCAGAGCCAAAGGGATAGAAAAAAATGAGAAGAAGGAAGGAAGGAAGGAAGAGAAGAGAGTCCAAACTAGTTCTCAGGATTCTCCTCTGGGCTCAGAGTGGTGGCATCATGAACTGAGATTAAGGAGTTGGCTTAGTGGGGAAGAAAGAGTTCAGTTGCAAACAACAAAAGTTGCCTGTGAACTGTCCACACGCAGATGGATATTCAAATCTACAGTCATCATGCCATTAAAGCTGAGACCATGAGAGTGTCCAAGGAGGATACTATACAGAAGAGAACCAGGGGTCAAGGATAGAATCCAATGGAACACTGACATGTCAGCATCTCAGAAAGGAAATCTAGACTAAATACAAAAGTATTTAGAGTGAGTAGTGAAATCAAAACCAAGGAAGTAGAGGGTCCAGAAACAGAGGTCTCTTGCTACGGAGAAGGTCCAATAAGATAAAGATGATAAGCATCCATTGGTTTGGGTGAAATGGTAATGATTGGAGATCTTTGGTAGAGCTACTTCCCTAGAATGGTGCGGTTAGAAGGGATGTTAGAATGAGAAGTAAGAAGCCGAGAAAAGGAGGAAGGAAATAGCATAGGCTAAACTCCAAGGCAGGAAAGACAAACCTATGTACATGAGAAGCTGGAAAGAGACTAATGTGGTTGGAGCATACTGAGCAAAGAGGAAAATGGCCTGAGATGGGGTTGGAGAGGAAGAACCTGGTTGGAACATGTAGGGCCTTTTAGACACGGAAGGAGCTCTGACTGGATTCACAGCACGGTGGGAATGCAGAGGGTTGTGAGCAATCAAATGACATGGCTGTATCTGTTTACATTTTGTGTGGAAAGGAATAAACATAGAACCTGAGGTTACTAGAGAACTCTGGAAGAAAAATGATTGAAAGTATTTTTGAGCAGCATCAAGATTGGCGATTATGAGTTTCCGTGGTGTTAGTCAACACTGGTCTCTGATGTCCTCTCATGGCAACCGCATCTGGTAGGAGAAAAGGTAGTTTATGGAACTAAGTCTGCAAGGGGTTTACCAGGTGGGGTGGTATGGACAAACTAAAGCAGAAGCTAGTTAACTTTATGATCGTCATAAAGATCATACTTGAATACTCGGTGCACGTGCACACACATACGCACACCTTTTCAGTGGATAATGATCACCATCTGACTGACAGAAATTGATCAGCACTAAAAATGTGCCATGAGAGATTATTGAAGTAGTGTAGTATAGTAGAGAGCTAGAAGATTTGAGTTCAAGTCCTGCCTCAGATTGCATGCACTTAACCAATTGACCTCATGAATGAAGAGGTTTGGTTTGGATGCTCATTATAAGAGCCTGTCCAGGTTTAAAGACTCAGTAATTGAAAATTAAAAATTGTGCTTGTCTCAGCTTTCTTGGTTATTGTAAGAATTCTTGTAAGTAACCTTGTCCTAACTCACTCAAACCAAAGTCACTGCCATCGAGTCAATGCTGACTCAGAGCGACCCCCTGTAGGTTTCCAAGACTATAACTGCTTAGGGAATAGAAAAGCCTAATCTTTCTCCCGAGGAGCTACTGGTGGTTTCAAACTGCCGACCTTGCGATTGCAGCCTAATGAATGTCCAACTACTAGTAGGAGCTCCAGGGCTCCTACTAGCATTGTTCTAACTTGGTAAAAAGTAGTTCTTATCAGGCCGGCTTTTTCCGCCTGGTCTTGAATGCTGAGAAGCTCTGAAAAAAACCCTCTGGACATGTCTGGGCTGTGAGAGAAAAGGTTGGCACCTCTGAGCTCCGTCCAGTCTGTCCCCACAGCAGACGTGCCATTGGCAGAGAGCAGAGTCGGGAGAAAGGCTTGAGGATCATCAGTAACAGAAAGTTACAGAAGAAAATATTTTGCGTCTAGAAAGCTTTTCTATATTACCCAATGCACAGCTCCTATCCATTGGAAATGGTATTGTTAGACAATTGATTACAGTGTATAGGAGCATTTGTTTTAGTACTTAGCAGAGTGTCTGTATTAAGAAACACTCTTTTGACCATATTTATTTTTAAAGTTTGAAAAAAAAAGTTTGGTCTGACATTGATTTGACCTTCAATTTGTTATCTATCATGATAGGATACTTTATTATTTTATTATGAATCGGTGAATTAGGTGTTAGGGACAACTTTCTCTACAGAATAGAGTACTTCAGCTTTAGTGGAAATTAATTTAGGACTTGGGACCTTGCACAAGAGTTCTAAAGTAAAAGGGCAAATGTTATCAGATAAGGAAAACCTAGGGAGCTGAACTCCTCTGGTGTAGAATATCTAGCCTGCTTGAATGAGGAGATTAAGATCGATCGTCCTTTCCTTTTGATTCGTTTGTGAACATAGCAATGAACTAAAATGAGGCTTAATGAAAGGCCTTTGCTCCTAAGGTTACTGCTCCATCTCTTTAGGACCATTTCCCATTAAAAGGGAGTCCCCATCTGCTTGTTAATTGCGTCTTTTGTTCCATTTTGTGATTTGATGCCATGAAAGTGTAAATTTTCATCTGGCTCATGTTACTCACTTCTGTGTGAAGCCCTGTATCATGAAATCAAACTAGACCTAAAAGACTGCAGGACCGACTTTTGTGTAAGTAATCATTTGCAGTGCTTCATAGTCCTTTTTCTTGTTCTGTCTTTCTAACAGCCTTGTAAGATCGCATTTTGCTTTTGTGAATACAGAAACATACAAGAGATATTAATGACCCAGCCCGAGTCTGGACAAGCACCCAAGGCTTCCTGCTCCAGACCCTGGCCCTCCATGGCAGGGTGCACTTTCCTAGCATCCTCTTCTAGTCAAAAGCATAAGTTCCCAAACTTACTTGGCATGCCACCCTTTTTTCAGAAAAAAATTACCCACACACACACACACACACAGCAATTAAAAACAATAATGTAGCCCATAATCCAGGATAAAATGTACATTAATAATGTAGCACATATTCCAGGATCTGCTTTTGTAGCCCCCTGGATCATTCCAGAGGTTCCCCCCGCGCCCCCCACTGCCCAGGCATGGTATCGCCTTCTTTGGGAAACAGTACACTAAAGCAGTATTTGTCATTGCCACCTCATAGAAGGATCACCTTGGGGAAGATGTAAGAAGTATGGTGGCCAGAGCCTTCTTCAAACCAGTTAAATGTGAAGTTCAGTGGGTTGGGCTCAGGCAACAGTGGTTTGGTTTGATTTGGTTTGGCTTTTAATCTATTCCCCAGGTGATTTCATTGTGCAGCCAGCCTCTGCTCTGAAGGTGCTGTGCTCCATCAGTTGTTTCTAGCTGTTTTATCCCTGAGTAACAGCTTGAAGGATTAGGAAACCTAATGCTAAAGCTCTTGGTAGTGAAAGCTCTTGGCTGCTGAGAGGTCGGTGGCTCAAACCCACCAGCTGTCTATCAGAGAAAGCCATCACAGTCTACGTCCTTAAAGAGAACAGCGGTGAGAGCCCCACGAGGCAGTTTGACTGAACCCCATCTGGTCTCTGTTGTCAGAACCAACGAGATGGCAGGGGGTTGGGGTTTGGTTTTGTTTTTGGCATTCATGGGACATTTTTCTCTACTTAGGCTCTGAGTAATTACCATATGCTTTTATTTCACAAGACAAGGTTTTTGAGATCTTAGAGGCTTAATTCACAGTGATGGTTCTCTGTATTATGAGTGTTGAAGCTGGTAAACTTTAATAATTTTTAGATTTAAGACAGAGATTAAAAGTTACAGTTCAGTTCATTGGCCAGAGATCGCTATGTGCAGGATGCTGTGAGAATGATAAAAGATGAACAGAAACACCCCCTGTCCCCAATCAATGTACAGTATAGTCTGTAATAGTCTAGTGAGAGAAAACTACATTTGCAAAGAATTGTAACTTCATAGATATTATCGAGCCCCTACCATGTGCCAAGCACTCATCTAAATATTGTGGACATAGTAATTATGGGAAACAAAAAAGTCTCAGCCCTCATAGAGCTTACATTCCTCATGGAGGAAGACTGATATTCAACAAGGAGGTTTCAAGGAGTTTGTGGACATTTTTCATTCTCTTTCAATATCATTTTTTTCATGAACTTTTTGAAGCCCTATCTTATGTGTTGGCATTACTTAAATTCTCCCTAATTATCACAGCAATCCTGCTGGTTAAATAGAATCCCCACTTTTCAGATACTGTGTGCTTTCTGGGACTTAGTTATTTAAGATCTCTTAAGAAACAAGAGGTGGCACTCAAAACAGAACTGTAATTATCTTTCTACTAATGAGCCTGTTTATTGCTACTCCTTGTTCTCTAAGTTGCAATCAACTTGATGACAGTGAGTTTGGGTTATTTGTTTTGTTTTGTTTTGTTTTGCTCTCTGTGATCTGAATAAACACAAGGGTTTGGGAGAAATTAGAAAATCAGTGTTATTGGACTGTAACTGCAAGTTCTTGGGCGATAGCTGTAAAGGTAAAATGTGAGATCAGATGTGGAGGATCCTAAATACTAGGCGAAGAAGTTTAAGTTTTATCCTAGTTGACAGTGGGAAGTTTTAAACATGAGCGGAAGGGTGAAAGATATGGAAAAATGATGTTTTACGAGGATTAAATACTGACAGAAATCAAAGTGATAGAAGTGGTGTACTTTCTCCTGCTGCCAGGTACCACCTGGGGTTTGCAATGTGTAGATGCCCTGTGGGAGCAGGAGAAGATAGTGGTATCTCTGGAGACACTGCTCTCAGGAATAAGGTGCCATGTAATTAGTTGTTGAGTGTTTGTCTCCCTCCACCAGGACTATAAGCTCTGTGGGGACAGACTGTTTCTCACAACTACAGTGTCCTCAATATTTAGATGAGTACTTGGCACATAATAAGGACTCAGTAAATAGCTAGGAAGTGATAGTTCGTTGAATACACAGTT